AGGGTGGGGGAGGAAGGGGAAGAAGGTGGGGGAGGAAGGGGAAGAGGGTGGGGAGGGGAGAGGAAAAGGGTTGGGAGGGAAGAGGAAAAGGGTGGGGGAGGAAGGGGAAGAAGGTGGGAGGAAGGAAAACAAGAGGAGGAATTCCCAAGGCCCGGAAGGAGGGATCCAACCCCCTCACCTGTATTTCCTGGCCACTTCCTGCAGGGGAATCCCTTTCCTGAGGGCCAGGTGGGAGAGGTGGAGCAGGGCCATCCCCAAACTGTCACTCCTGAACCTCTGCACTTCCTGTTCGCTCCCAAAATCCTTCAGGGAAACCACGTCGTTGATAAAATCAAACTTCCCCTGTTGAAAAATAAAGGCATAAAAAGCTGAATTAACCTTTTTTTATGATCATTATCCCTCTTGGAATTCCCAACTGGGGGTTTTTGGAGGTTTCCCAAGTGGATTGAAACCATTTTCAACTCATTTTCCCAAGGGGAAACTCCGAGCGGGGTCGAAACTTCGCGCCGGGAAAACGTTCCCTCTTCAAATAACAGGAGAAGTTTTGACCCCAAATTTGAGGTGAATCCAGAAGGATTGAGGAAATAAAATCCCTCCTGACCTGCTCGAAAAGGTACTCAAAGGAGGCTGAATCCAACAAAAACCTTCCTGGTTGCTTCTCATCCTGGGAATCGTTGGGTCTGGGGACGTTGCGATAAACGACCGGTTCCTTCTCGTTCATCCCGTGCCAATTCCGGAAGTAAAACCTGGAGAAGGGGAAGGAAAAGGTTCTAATCCGGGTCTTCTCCTGCAAGGTGGGAAAGAACATTCCAGGTTTGGTGACTCCAAGAGGGAATTTTGGCTCCTGTGGCTGCTCTGGAGTCGCTCCAGGGTTGTTACTGGAAACGCGCCGGGAAAGATTCGGGCGGTGAAACCGGAACCGAAGGGGAAGGAATTTTTGGCCTCCCCAAAAATCCCAGATCCATGGATTTTCTGGGATGTTCAAGCCCATCCTGGGATCTCAGACCCCATCCTGGGATCTCAAAGCCCATCCTGGGATCTCAAAGCTCTTCTCAGGATCTCAGAGCTCATCCCGGGATCTCCAGGTCCTTCCTGGGACCTCCAAGCCCATCCCAGGATCCCAAAGCCCATCCCAGGACCTCAAGGATCCTCCTGGGACCTTCAAACCCATCCCAGGACCTCAAGGATCCTCCTGGGACCTTCAAACCCATCCCAGGACCTCAAGAATCCTCCTGGGACCTCCAAGCCCATCCCAGGAACCTCAAAGTTCATCCTGGGATCTTAAAGATCCTCCCAGGATCCCAAAACTCATCCCAGGATCCCAAAGCCCATCCCAGGACCTCAAGAATCCTCCTGGGACCTCCAAGTCCACCCTGGGACCTCCACACTCAAAACCCATCCCAAAGCCCATCCCAGGATCCCAAAACCCATCCCAGGATCCCAAAACCCATCCCAGGATCTCAAAACCCATCCCAAGAACCTCAAAGTTCATCCTGGGATCTTAAAGATCCTCCCAGGATCCCAAAACTCATCCCAGGATCCCAAAGCCCATCCCAGGACCTCAAGGATCCTCCTGGGACCTCAAAGTTCATCCTGGGACCTTCAAACCCATCCCAGGACCTCCAAGCACATCCCAGGATCCCAAAGCCCATCCCAGGACCTCAAGGATCCTCCTGGGACCTCAAAGTTCATCCTGGGACCTTCAAACCCATCCCAGGACCTCCAAGCCCATCCCAGGAACCTCAAAGTTCATCCTGGGATCTTAAAGATCCTCCCAGGATCCCAAAACTCATCCCAGGATCTCAAAGCCCATCCCAGGACCTCAAGGATCCTCCTGGGACCTCCAAGCCCATCCTGGGACCTCCACACTCATCCCAGGACCCCAAAGCCCATCCCAGGACCCCAAAACCCATCCCAGGACCTCAAGGATCCTCCTGGGACCTCCAAACCCATCCCAGGACCTCCAAGCCCATCCCTGGATCCCAAAGCCCATCCCAGGACCTCAAGGATCCTCCTGGGACCTTCAAACCCATCCTGGGACCTCAAGACCCATCCTAGGATCCCAAAGCCCATCCTGGGACCTCCAAGCCCATCCCAAGACCTCCAAGCCCATCCCAGGATCCCAAAGCCCATCCCAGGATCTTAAGGATCCTCCTGGGACCTCAACACCCATCCCAGGACCTCCAAGCCCATCCCAGGACCTCCAAGCCCATCCCAGGATCCCAAAGCCCATCCCAAGGATCAGGAGAGGGGACATCAGGAATGGGGGGGGTCTCACCTCATCCTGAAGACCAACTGGAAGTTGGTGTCTCTTCCAATATGGAAGAGATGGTTGGGTGGGAACCAGATCCTGCTCTGGGGGTCGTAGAGGGCAAAGAGGTTGTAGCACAAGGGGGTGATTCCTGGGAAGGGGAGAGAATTCCCAGGTAAAAGAGGGAATTCCCAAGAAGAAGAGAGAATTCCCAAAAAAAGAACCATTAAAATAAACCCAAAATTCCCACCTTTCAGCCCATTTTTCCCACCTCAAGGAACCTGAGGAACCTCAACATCCTCCTGGTTCCCGTGCCCCAAAAATGGGAGAATTCCTAAGAAACTGGTTCTTTTTTTCCAAGGAAAAGCTGGAAGGGGTTTTATCCCAAAAAAAAAGGCACCTGGAGAGGTTGGGAAGTTCATCAATCCCATTGGAGAAACCCAAGAGGATCTTCCAAAGGGTTCCCACCAAAACGGGCCGGAATTCCGGCGCGTCGGAACGGGACGAGTTTGGGAACAGGAGCCTGGAATGATGTTTAGGGGGGAATTCCCAAAACTGGGATGTTGAGGAGCTGGGAGATGAAGTCATTCCCTTTCATCCCAACCCAATAACTGGGTTGATCCATCCCCCAGTTCCACTTCTACGGAATACTGGAACAAACTGGAACGCCCGGAATTCCGGCGCGTTGGAACGGGACGAGTTTGGGAACAGGAGCCTGGAATGATGTTTAGGGGGGAATTCCCAAAACTGGGATGTTGAGGAGCTGGGAGATGAAGTCATTCCCCTTCATCCCAACCCAATAACGGGGTTGAGCCACCCTCCAGTTCCACTTTTCTGGAATACTGGAACAAACTGGAACGCCCGGAATTCCGGCGCGTCGGAACGGGACGAGTTTGGGAACAGGAGCCTGGAATGATGTTTAGGGGGGAATTCCCAAAACTGGAATGTTGAGAACTGGGAGATGAAGTCATTCCCCTTCATCTCAACCCAATAACGGGGTTGATTCACCCCAGTTCCACTTTCCTGGAATACTGGAACAAACTGGAACGCCCGGAATTCCGGCGCGTCGGAACGGGACAAGTTTGGGAATGATGTTTAGGGGGGGAATTCCCAAAACTGGGATGTTGAGGAGCTGGGAGATGAAGTCATTCGCCTTCATCCCAACCCAATAACTGGGTTGATCCACCCCCCAGTTCCACTTTTCTGGAACACTGGAACAAACTGGAACGCCCGGAATTCCGACTCGATCCGTTCCGAGCCGGTTTTTTTGGGGGAAACTTTTTCCAAACCCCAAGAGTTGGGATTTTTGGGATCAACCAGTTGGGATTTTGGAAGCCAAACGGGTGGGATTGCCCCAAAAGATTGGAAAAGTGGGAATTTTCCCCTATTCTGGGATGGGATTTGGGTGGGAACTCTGGGTACTCACCGATCTTCTGGGCCAGGTCAATGCAAATTTCCTCAGCACTGAGGGTCCCAGAGCTGTAGATCTGGGAACATTCCCGGTTTTCCTCCCCATTCCAATGGAGTAAAACCCTCATTCCTGATCCTGATCCGGATCCTGATCCGGATCCTGATCCAAAGCAACATCCTGCAGGATCCGACTCGCCGCGTTTCCCGGCGCGGCGGCGCAAGGACATGGTGGTGATTCCCAACGACCTTCCAACTGGGACAAATTGGGAAGGGGGAGGGGAAAAATGGGAAGGGGGAAACTGGGAATGAAATCAACCCAGGAAACCAGTCAGGCCCGGTTGGGAGGACTGGGAAAGCTGGGAATTCCCACCTCGTGGTCGATATCGAGCATAACGCGGGGCCGGATCCCGGCGGGAGGGGGTGGGAAGGGGATTGGGATCAACTGGAAAAGAAGGGGAAGGAAAACCAGTTCAAACTGGGAATGTCAGATCCATCCTGGTCTTCCCAACTCCCCCCCCGCCCCAGTGGAAAAATCCAACCCTTTTTCCCTAGAAAACCAACTTGGGAAGAGGATCCAGTGGGTTCATCCCACGGGATCGACCTCGTGGCTCCGAAACCAGTTTGTCCCACCTCCCATTTCAAGCCTTTTTACTGGGAATTCTGGACTGGGATGAAATCCCCTCCCCCCCCCCCCACACCAGTTGGTCCATCCCAACCTCCTTTTATTCCTGGGAATTCTGGGCTGGGATCAAATCCAAACCCAACTCCCCTATGGAATCACCTGGATCTCCTCGAAACGCGTCGGGGGGGAACAAAAAACACCCCCAAGTTCCCGAGTTTTTTGCCCCTCCCCCCAAATTCCCGACGTTGGGAAGAAAAAAAAGGAGCCCAAAAAAAAAGGGGATCCAGAAGAAAAACAAAAACACCCTGGAAAAATCCAGGAAGATCCTGGATTTTTCAGCTTCTTCCCCCACCCCTTGTTGAGCTCCTGGTTCTGGCCTCTGTGGTCGTTCCCAGTTGGGATGTGAGGAAGGAACTGGGATGGACTGGGAAGGAAGAGGGGAGGGGGGTTTTTGCCAAGCTGGGATCTGGGAGGAGCCAGGAATGGGATGAATCTGGATTCGCTCCGGATTCAGCCCCAGGGGTGAGGCCTTGAGGCATCCCCAGGGGTCTGGGTGGAACACCCGGGGGTTTGAGCCCCACAGATCCTGAGATCCCAGAGATCC